TTGTTCTAAAACCTCATGGAAAATATGTCTTAATGAACACATAACTACCTGGACTATAGTGGCCCTTAAGGTCATTACACAACAACATTTCAATAAACAAAGAAAACATTTTTTTTTCAGCAAACCAATAGCATTTTATACAAACAAAAAGGTAGTGGATCTTTAATTTTAAACTGACACTCAAAAGTATGAATGGAAACTGTGTTGAGCGGACATGAAATCTCAGTAAATACAAGTTAGCACCATGTGTGACTTGAAGGGTGGCAGAAGGGGTTGCCTCTTAATTTTAACTAACCTTGTTTGGACGTGCCTCAGGCTGCTTATTTCTAGGTTATACGACTGGCAATCTGACAGGACTGGCTATGCCAGATGGGTCAAACCCATCCCCTGGGCTCCAAGGCAATGTAGGGAAAAAAACTGACCTGCCGAAGAGAACACAGCTAATTTGATTAAAGGTTACAAGGTTACACGGTCCTTAAATTGCCAATAGGCTGAGGTATCCCTCTCCCACTTGGATTCATCCATGTAATGTCAGGTGTCAAGTTGGAAACAATCAAATAAATCAAGCCAGAAGGAGTGGATTTTATAAAAAGAGTTTCACAGGTAAGAGAGAAGTGGGATGAGGCTGGACAGAACCAAAAAACTGGCAGCAACAAATTTCAATGTCCCTTATGTCCAGAGTGTCCATGCACTGCCACAAGTCTCTCATGTCTCTGCTGAAACTTCATCATGTCATGTTGGAGTTTCTGCAGTGAAGCAGAATTTAGTGCATAAGCTTGGGGTGGATTCTCCAAAGGTTACAGTTGTACAATACCTGAACCCTGAATTGAACTGTTCTGTGGGGAACAAGCCTTTTTTTTTGGTCCTCGGAAGCTATCCTTTCTTTGAGAAGTTGTAAAAGTAGTTTTTTTCATCTCACATTACAAAACAGAGCAGCGAGATATCGATGAAGGAACCAAGAAAAAAAAGAAAGTTCAGCCAAACTAAAAACATTGTGGATGAACAGCGATGCCCTGTAACACTTCTACTAATTTATTTTTTATTCCCTTCCTTTCTCCTGTCTTATTCCTTACTTTGCTGCAATGTGTCAGTGTGAACAGATCAATACATTGGACATTCAAAGAAAAATAAGAAAGGGCTGGATCAGAGTGAGACAGAGAGATACACAGAGACAGGGAAAAACAGGAGAAGAGCATTGGGTCACTCATAACAAATGTTCCTCATCCATAATTTATAACTTTATGATTCAGGGCAACGAAATATCAGAAATGTAGCCATACGCCTGAAAGGTTTCCCTGAGGCTTTCACAAAACTCAATACATTAAAAAGGAACAAGGTTGGGATGGACATTCATAACATCCGAAAAGTTTTGGTAAACAGGAGAGGTTACGAAGTTCCTTTTTTGAAAATATCACACTGACAATCAAATAAAGTAGAGTGTTATTGAGGAGCTGTTCTTATTACCCTCATACCATTTTCATTTTGCCTTTCCAGAGTCATCAGACAATTTAATTGTAATATTACCAACTCGTATGTATTAGAAAAGCCCTTTGGAATTTCATTACTTGTTATTACTTTATATGACAATGTAGGTATGCCATTAGTGTCAATTTGCATGTACAGTTCACCATAGATGAATAATAATATGATTATAAAAGTCTACTTAGACTAAATCTACAAATCTGAATCTAAAAATATGCATAATTTAATCAAGACATATTGCTTGAGTAACATACAAATGGAAATCAAAATCAAATCAAATCAAAAATGTTTTTAAATTTAACATTGAATCCTGGATAATAGTCCTTCAATTGAACTTTTCCGCTCTTCATATGACTTCACAGTGAGGAAGTACCCAAAATCATCAAGCCTTAATGAAATATACCCTCAGGGGTGCCCGAGAGGGGGGGAGAATGAGCACCCCAACATGACGGACCTACAGTTAACGACTAATGCAAACGGATTATCAACAACGATTGCAGAATGTGTCTGTGGCAAAGTATGCAAAAACCTGCGTGACCTAAAGATCCACCAGGCCAAGATGAAATGCTTGATGAAGGAGCAACTGATACAGTGCACAGGGATAGCCCCTGATGAGAAGCAGGAGTCACCCCACAGACCCAGGCAGAGTAACAGAACATTGACGGGTCAAGTGGCCTCCGGCCAGTAAGGACAAACAGTGGCTTCAGTTCGATGTTGATGTGGAAAACATCCTAGAAGCAGCAGCCAAGGGCGACGTAGACAGGAAGCTCAAAACCATGGCAACCATTATCATCAGCCTTGCTGCCGAGAGGTTTGGTATGTTGTAGAAGACCCCCTACATGAACAACTGTAGGGCAGAGAAGATCAGCCAGATAAGGCAGGAGCTGCGGGTCCTGAAGAGGCAGTACAAGGAAGCCCGAGAAGAGGAAAGAAAAGAGGATGTACTATCAGAACTTTGCGGCATCCTCAGGAAAAAGCTCACCATTCTTCGAAGGGCAGAATGGCACAGACGGCGAGGGAAAGAGAGGGCCAAGAGACGGTCTGCGGCCACCTTGTTTGTCCCAAAGAGGAGATCAACCACCATCTCCGCAACACCTACAGTGATGCTGTGAGGGAGGAGGGGAAAGGTAGCCCAACAATGGAGGTTTGCAGAAGGTGTCTGGATTCCCAAGGAGGAGAACGCTAAAAACATAGAGCAGTTCAAAACCATCTCGCTGCTCAGCGTTGAGGGGAAGATATTCTTCTCCATCCTGTCCCGTTGGTTGACAGAGTTCCTCCTGAAGAATCAATACATTGACACCTCTGTTCAGAAGGGTGGAATCCCAAAGGTTCCAGGATGCCACGAGTGGTCACGCAGTTGATCAGAGAGGCAAGAGAAGGGAAAGGAGACCTAGCAGTGCTGTGGTTCGACCTCACCAATGCCTATGGATCAATTCCCCATAAGCTGGTGGAAACAGCACTGGATTGGCACCATGTCAGCCGAAGTCAAGTGCAGAGGTCCGCTCACCAAGTCTGGAGTCCGCCAGCCCCCCATCAGAGCCTTTATGGACGACCTGACAGTTACAACGACGTCAGTGACGAGGTGCCGATGGATCCTTCAGGGCTTGGAGAAGATCATCACCTGGGCTCGGATGTGTTTCAAGCCTGCAAAATCTAGGTCCCTGGTGCTCAAGAGAGGGAAAGTGACAGACAAGTTCCACTTCACTCTGGACAGCACCCAGATTCCATCGGTCACCGAGAAACCCATCAAGAGCTTCGGCAAGACCTTTGATTACACCCTGAAGGACTCTGCATCCATCAAAGCCACAAATCGGGAGCTGGAGGCGTGGCTGACAGCAGTAGCCAAATCGGGTCTGCCTGGTAAATTCAAGGCCTGGATTTACCAGCACAGTGTTCTCCCCCGGATTCTGTGGCCCCTGCTAGTGTACGAGGTCCCATTAACAGTAGAGGTCTTCGAGAGGACGATCAGTCGTTACCTCCGTAGATGGCTGGGCCTGCCACAAAGCCTGAGTAGCATCGCTCTGTATGGGCATAAGAACAAACTGAAGCTCCCCATTAGCAGCCTGAATGAAGAGTCTATGGTTACCCGTGCAAGAGAGGTGCTGAAATACAGGGAATCTAGTGACCTGAAAGTCTCCCAGGCTGGCATCGTAGTCAGGACTGGGAGGAAGTGGAGGGCGCAGGAAGCAGTTGAGCAGGCGAGCAGGCGGAGTCACACTTGCGTCACAGTGTGCTGGTCGGCCCGGTGGCATCTGGACAAGCAGTGCTTGGTAGTGTTCCAACTATGACAAAGCCCTTGACAAAGACAGACGCCAACTGGTCCAAGAGGAGGTGAGAGCTGGTGTGGCCTCTCCGACCAGCAAGGCAGGCGATCGCTTTCATCCGGGCAGGGGAGAAGCCCAAGCACCAGCCAAGGGGGGCAGTGGGACTCCTTGGAACTGCACTGGACTGGCAGATTAAGGCCGACCTAGGGAAGCAGCTCAGATTCCCAGAGCACATTGTGGAAAACACCCTGAGACCAGACATAGTTCTGTTCTCAGATTCAATAAAACAGGTGGTCCTGCTGGAGCTGACAGTCCCCTAGGAGGAGCGAATGGAAGAGGCCAATGAGAGGAGGCGTGCCAAGTACGCCAACTTGGTGGTGGAGTGCCGCAGACAGGGTGGCATTCCCGGTGCGTGGTCTCTCTGAAAAGCATACAGCCTGCTTGGCATCACAGGTGCATGCCAGAGAAAGGCCATCAAAACTACCACAGAGGCAGCTGAGAAGGCTAGATGGCTGTGGATCAAGAGGGGCAATCCGTGTGTACATGCTACTAAGACACACCGGGACTTGATCAATCCCGGCTGGGTTGCCTGGGTGAGGGTGTATGATGTTGAAAGACCTGAAACACCCAATGACCACAGGTTCCATCATTGATGATGTGTCTAAGTGCATCAATAGATGTATAGTGAATTCAATAGTATAATTTAACGCAAAATAATTATATAGATATCGACTAGCTGTTGATGAAGTCATTAATAAAACCACGGGAGAAAAGGGAAAGCTCTGAAACCGGCAAAAATATTGAATATAGTCCTGCTTGGTAGAGGTCAAAATGCTCCAGCAACACTTGTAGTAAGAAGATCAACTTTATTAACAATTTAGACCAACGCATTTTGGCTCGTGGCCTTCATCAAGGTCATTGTCCTGCTTGGTGACAGCTTGAGATTTTCTATCTTGGTTTGTCTGTAGGAAGACAAAAGCGATTAGTCGACATCAGGAATAAAGCATCGTCACAAAGCTGTAAAGTTGTCATGTTAAATCATCGACAAGTCGACAGGTCTGTACAAACCCTAGTACTTAAGAGTTTCTTAATTTAAAGCTTTTGGTTGATTCACTTTGCAAACTGTTGACCAAGTAGACCAAAAAGGGTGACCCATTCAATCCAAAGGTTATCATGTACATTATGTACATTTGGTGCAGGTGACTGTTTAGTGTTTCACGAGCTTGTCATTGTAGAGCAAGAAAAAAAGGACTGTTTCTAAGAGCTTCACTTTTATTCAAGAATCAAAGAAAACAGATTTAAAAAATCTTCACATTGAGCAGTACATGGATTGTTTTTACACAGTAATGTTAATAGAAATACTAGCTACACATCACAAAAGAAAGAAAACACAACTAATCTAATCAATAAGTAGTCACTATCATCATCGACCTAAACATTGATGATTATTGATTGTTGATAACCAAAACATGATTTGAAAAAGAATTATGCTCATTAACACAAACTGAACTCAAATTTACTCAGATTGGATCATTTAAAACACGTTTTTATCTGTTTCCTCTGATGCAAATGGGTGCTTTGAATTTACTTTAACAGATGGTGATTGTGATGGCCTCGAGTGACACTTAGAATGAAGCGTGTCTTTCATTCAGTATTGATAATTTAACTTTTTCTCATCTATATTGCCAAGGTTTAACCGACTCTTCTTCAACTTTTCTAAATGAGATGTCAGGGAAATCAACTTGGATCAAGTTCATAATTCAATAAAAACAAAGTGTTTAGTTCAGTCAAAGTAACAAGACTCCGAATATCAATAGTACATCAAAAAAAGAAACTTTAAAATGATGCAGTTCCAAGTTGAAGGTCAAATAAAAACTATTTTTTTAAGAAAAAAAGCTGTCTGATGCTTTTCTGTACAACAAAAATCTGAATAGTTTGCAATCTTTGCACCATCATTTATCAAAATTTTTGATTTTTATTTCCTCCTTTAATCCCCCATCAACCCTCAAAAAACTTGACAAAGAACGAGCAAACGGAGTGCCATCCCTCGTTGCAGTAAGTCTGCGCAGGCTCCATGTCATTCAGGACCCCTTCCTCCTCAAACTCAGTCCTCTCCTCCCTCTTCTTCTCCTCTTCTTCCTCTTCCTTCTTCTTCTTCCTCTCTACCTTCCCTCCATCTGAGCTCTTTGTTGCTGGTGTTGCTTTCTTCTTCCCTCCTTCCTTCCCGCCCTTCCTCTCCTCTTCTCCACTGCGTGTTGCGAGCTTCATGTGAGCCTCAGCGGGAGCCTTCTTGCAGGTTTTGGCCTTCAGGACTTTCTCTCCTTCGCAGGCGTTCTGCCTCTTCTTCAGCTTCCCCACCAGCTGCTTCCAATACTGGCTGGACTTCACCCCATAGGCCTGGCAAAGGTCTGGCTTACCTGCGTAACGACACCAATACCTGCAGTGGGACAAAATTCATTAACCAACCAGGATGGAGTAGAGTGCATCACATCATGTCAAGGAAGACTTTAACACCTTTTCGCAGGCTATCAGCAGTCCACTTAATCACCAATCATGCCAGATTTGAGTCATGTTAATGGGTGGGTGCTTAAAATGATGAATATTTTTTTCCCTTCATTTTTTAGGCATTTGAGGAAACTAAGAATAATTGATTATTACTTATTTATTTTTCTATTAAATGTAGGTTAATTTCACAGCTGTAAATATATAATATACTATGTTTAGTATATTTTATATTTACAACATCACGCTTATTGAGTCTATTCAGCTGCTAAAAAAAACAAACCATAACAGACTGCCTAACTGGGTAGGATCATTTGTTTCCTCTAAATCATCAATATTTCTCAGACATCTTTCCCAGTAGTCTAAAATCAAACTACACAGCACAGTTTGTTATCTGAATAATAAGCTCTAGTTCTGTGTCATTCCCATTAAGTCAATCCCTGAATTATTCAAACCGTTGAAATAACATTTATTTAGAGTTGAATTATGTTAATCGCATAATGTAGTGCAGAGTCACATCTGTTAGGATATTACTGTTGATGTCTTCCTCACCTCTGTGGGTCTCCAAGTGTTTCAGCACTGCAGTTCACCAGCAGGCTCACCAGGCCTTCACCAGACGTCTGCCAAACACAGCGATGGCCCTCCTTAGTGGTCAGCTCTCCAGAGCCCGGGACTGAGCGGTTTCTGGGTCTCTTCGGCGGCTGGGGCGTCGACGGAGGCTGACGGGGTTTGTCCGGTCTTCCCTGACTGAGCTGCCGCTTGGCCTCAGTGAGGACAGGGAGGCAGACGAGGAGGGCGAAGAGGAAACTGAATGGCAGGACACTCATGGTGGCTGGGAAGGGACAGGCAGACAGAAGAATATAGCTTTGAATTTCTGGAGTAATCAGTCATAGCTCCAATGAAACCCCATATACATTTCCACAACCTGACACTATTAAAGACTAGGTGGAGAAGAAAGATTAACATTAAGCAGCTAAAAAGACATTGTCCTGAGTGGGTGGAGACCAAATCAGAGCTAAAAGGATATATGATTTATTCTTTCATGTCATCACACAATCAATGCCCACCATCTTATATATCTTACATCTTTTTTATATTGCTTTGTCAAAGCACTTTATGTAGGTTTGAATGATAGTATGATGTCATTTTCATCTTCTCTTTGGCTATATGAAACATTATCTTTACATTATATTTTCCAAAAATGCATACAAATGAAGTTGCTAGCAGTTGAAAAGGGAAAATTCATCTATTAAATGCTGACTAGAGACAACCTAAAGGCTAATAGTAACACGGCAACATGACAAAATTCTCACAATTAAGCACATAAGCATGCTGATATTTTCTTGGAAGCCCTGGAGCTTACTTACAGTAGACTATTTTAAACCAATGAGATTTTTTTCTCAGAAAAAATACATCTTAAAGATCTCATCTTATTCTCCTTTTCAACCACTTTAAATAACTCTCAGAGGTCCCCAAATCATATCTGTGAAGTTTCTTGTTAAAAGCCCACGCTGATCCTCTATTCCAGCATCCCTATAAACCCCTCTATTTCAGCCCTGCTCAGAACAGGCTGTTTCTGTGTCTGTAGCTTTAAATGCAAATGAGCTGTGACTGACCACAGCCCTCTCTGGAAGGGCTTGAGTGTCTTGTCTTGGTGCTTTCTTGCACCATAGTCAATTGTTAAGGTTGAGAAGACTCAGATGGCAGAACAAACACCTAGCTGTGGGAGTGTACCCCATAGGAGGGAGGGGTTAAAACCCTTTGTGATGTCATAAAGGGAAAATCTCCAAACGGCCTGTTTGAGCACACGTTATCTAAAAAGTGGGCAAAAAACGGAGAGGATGGACGTTTCTCATTATTGGGGGGTTTGTAGGCAGACTAGGGACATATGTTAGAAAATTATGGTAACGGGTATTTTGCATAAAATGTGACCTTTAAACAAATACCTTTATTGAAAGAACTTCTAATATTATTGTATATTCTTGTCAAATGGCAGTGAGAAATACCATCTGCTCCGCTGTGATGAAATGATACATGTGCTGCAGGCAGTCCTGAGAGTTTTGTAAATTAAGTAAGAGACAAACTGCTGTACAGTTACAGTTACTGTGCTGTAATGTTTTTTTTTTTTTTTACTTTGCTTTTCATGATATGTTTCAGAAAACATATACAAGACTAATATATCAGGATGAGCCATAAAGACTATAAACTGAATATAGATCAGGCTTTAATCAGCACTCAACACAAATCACAGCTGTGAAGAGTTGTGGGACCTCATTGTCCTCTATACTACAAAATTTATGACCAACAAATAAAGATTGTCATCCCTGGAATAATGCTGCCAGCATGGCTGAGAAGCAGCAGAGCCCAAAATATATTGATTTTTAATCTCAAGTAGAGGTCAAGCTTCAAAAACACTTGATCCTACAAACTATTGACTGAACTGAAGAGTACCAGAAGGACACATTCTTTTGAACAATATTTAAAATGTTTTTCAACACCCATGCAGCACTCCATGCAGCTACCCTCACTCTTGATCCTAAATTTGCTTTTAAAAAACATTATAGTCTTGTCTAGTCACTGGGAGGGTTGCAAGATTGTTTGTTATACTACAACCATGACATTATGTAACAGTTTCACACACTGACTAGTAAGCAGCTGTTGTCAGTAAACAGAACTTTTTCACCAGTTACTTTTTCAATTTTTAAAGTTTTAATAAATCATCTGAAGGGGCTTGGCAGCTCGGAACTATTTGTTATAACTTGTTATTTCCAAAGCTGTCCTTATCAGTATCACAGAGGACCACAAAGTCAAAAAGTGACACAACACAAGTGTTAAATGTTGAAAAAATGAACAATGGGCTCAGAGCAGGGGTGTGAGTCTCTGACAGCGGCTTATTGAAAACCAGCCAAGCGTCAGAAACACTCCCCCAAGAAGGGTCCTCACCGGACTTGTAGCTGTCAAACAGAGAGAGAGGGAAAGCGGAGCAGAGGATTAGAGCTGAACTATTCTATTTTGATGTTGTTGTTTTTTCTAGTTTTAATCAAAGTTTTATGAATTCTGTAATGGGAAATGATCCCTACTATCACTAAGTGTGGAGAAAAAAATGGAAAACGTTGCATTAAATCAGAAAAACAAATAAAAATATGGCCTATCATCAGCAATAATTACTTCTTGGTCTTACTTCATTGAAGTGTGTTTAAACATGTCTTTCATCCCTGATGTAGATTTAACTAAGATAAACA